CAACATCAGCCATTGTACCTTTAATAAATATTATTTGCAACCTTTAGTAAACAATTTTATAGCTAAATAGTTGATGAAATTACTTTAAATTGTTAAAAATTAAACGAAAATCTCTTTAAAACACGTGTGAGCAAAAAACACGTTTCCAGACAAAACGCCGCTAAAAGAAATGACAACGAAAATGACGGCAGCTTATAGCAACAGTGTTGCAAAGTGATGCTCTAGAGCGCTACAAAATGAGAATCATGTTATGAAAAATCCGAATACCAACCGATATGAAAAGGGGAATAGTTACTCGCTGGATATAGTGGAAGTAAAGTAGCTATTAGACGTGGCAAGTGCAAGTCCTTTTCAAGGGTCTGTGAAATTCAAGAATTTCCAAAAAATTATCTGAAAAATTTACTAAACCCACTAAAATGTGCACAAAAGAGTCAAAAAATGCCTAATACATTAATACTTAAACACTCCATATCAGTAGAATTAATTAATTACACGCATTTTTTCATATTTTATTCAACATTTTCATAATTTTTACAAATTCGCCAAAAAAACGCGTCACACTGCAACACACGACTGGTTTGACAGCACTTGCAGCAAAAATTTAAACTCCTAGTGCAGCAAATTGAAATTATTTCTCGAAAGCGTTTTGCGTAATCCCAGTTGCACCTTGCAATTTTTATGGCAAAAAGGACTTTCTGACTATTTACACGGGAAAGTAGACTTTCCATTTCGCATTTCGACAGCAAAATGCGCTTGCATTGCCACGTTTAACCGCACCTTACAGTGGCTACACAACGACGAACATGTGCGCGCACATGCTCGGCTCGCGGTGCATGTTCGTACCTTGTAGGGCGGTTCACGAGCATGCTCGCAAAAACTAAAATAATTTGATTTTCAGCGAGCATGCTCGTCGTTTGTAGCGTGGTTTGCGAGCATCGCATTGGAAACAAAAACAACCACCTCATCTTGTCATGATCCGTTTACAAAATTTTTTAACAACAAATAGGCACAAATAAATATTAACACGAATTGTATAAGTGACGAATTAACAAGGAAGGAAAACGGTAGGTATATCGATTGCTCAATTTGAACGATATTCAAGGGATCACACGACTCATTTAGCCAATGTTCGGGAAAACTTTTCATCCAGCAGGACAGCGAGGATTCTTGGCCCTCCTATAACAGAAAACGCACATCTGTGCTCTTGAGTTTCCTTATGAGGACTTTTACTGGCTTACGCATCGGAAAAATGTTGTAGTTGCAAGATCAAAGAAGATTATGCACGCTTGGCAGAGATTTCACAGGTGGAAATAAGACCATCCGCGGCAAAGCTCATGTCACCGAAAGGGATTAGTTTTTCATACAGTATCACAGCGTTACTATTCTCGGTCTATGTGTGAGGAAGATACCGTGCTTTAGTGGTTTCAACTTACTAAAAATTTTGACTTTACAGACTGTTTTTTCTTTTGTTTTTGTTTAGCATTAACCGACGCAAAAGTTCTTATTAGGCGCCGTGAAGCAAGTGGGCATTGGCTAGTATACGTATAAAATTGTGAAGGTAAGCTTGCTATATTCTTTAAATCATTTATTTATGACTTCAGATATTTATAGAACGTTCATTTAGGAATTCTATAATGGCTCTGGGTAACCGTTACCATTGCATTGCCTGTTGAAGATGTGGCCGAAGCATAGCTGAATGTAGCTGAAAAACTTAGTGCGAAAATGCCATTGGCCTAAAACACGCACGAATAATTGTGCAAGCATGGTTTGTTGGCGAGGGGAATGAAGACAATACATTGTTCGGTGAGTTTTGTACCAGGGCATTTGTACAAAGTGTAGCTGCAACTACCTTAATGTGTACACATATATATAAACAATAAAATTTAAAAGTGTGCGAATATTTAAAAAGTGCAGTAGAATGGTCCAGCTGTAACTACCTAAATGTGTACATATGTAGGTAAAAAGAAGTGCAGTGCTAATATATACATACATATGTATGTTAGAAAGTGCAGCAGAATGCTCCAGCTGCAAATAGGTACATATGTATGTAAAGAACAAAAAGTGTGCTGCAAAATATGTGCAAAGTGCAGTAGACTCTCACCTTTTGGCGGCTTTCCAATGCGCACAAATTTCGTTTATTTGTGCACTAAAGAATTGATGCGTTTTTGAAAACAGTCATTTTGGTCAGGAATAATATTTGCATTCGCTGCATTATTAGCATCAGTTCTAGTTGCATCTTTCCAACCAACCAGCATATTGGCTGGGTACCTACATGTGTAGATATGTGTGCAAACAGAATAAAGTGAGGCGTATATGAAAAAATTGCAAAAGAATATTTCACTAAATGAACGCTCCAACTGCAACTGCACAAATGTGTACATACATACATATGTATGCAGTTAAGCACAAAAAGAAAGGGAATTGCAAATACATTTGTACAAAGTGAGCTGCACCTACCTACATGTGTACATACCATGTATGTAGGTAAAAAGAAGAAAGTGCAATGGAAATATATACATCTATATGTATGTACATATATATTTTACATATACACATGTATTTATATAAATATTTTAAAAATATATAAATTACATATTTATTTTTCGTTATTTTAATACGTTAATTTTTCTTTTAGATTTCATTTGTCGAAGCTTCGTTGGATGTAAATTTTTTAGTTGCGCATAGCACCATGCTGGATGGAAAAATTGGAGAAGTTCGATAATGCCATTGAGTGTTACTGGAAAGCCTGCACTGTGGGTTATATTGTAGCAGGTAGTTATTTAATTACTAAGGCATTTTAATTTTGCATATACTTAAAAAACTTGGTTTTTTTTTCAAATGCTTAGCGGAAAATTTAAATGATAAACGAATGCAATCGCCATAGTAGCAGACACCTCATCAGGCAATATTATGTAAATGGAGTTTAGCGATCCTGCAATCGGATTTGAAAATGTCCAACAAACGCCGGCAATCAGTGGTAAAGGCACTTCTAGTCTAATTTTCAAATATTTTACGCTTAACTAACAAATTTTTAATAAATTGTTTTAATAGTTATTTCTATTGTATGTACATATTTATTTTAACACATAAAAAAGAAAAAACCCGATAAAATTTTGCAAAGTTGTAAGAAAACTGAGTATTTAAGAACCTCTATAAACGGTTTTTAATTGCACATATATATCGAAAGAAGGGTAATTCGATTACCTTTCTTTTGATTATAATACCGTTAAAATCGCTTATCTTTTTCTATAGAAATTTTTCAATTTTTGAAAACATCTATATGTATGCTGAAAAATCGCGGTCAAATTTTCCAAAGATGTAAGAAAACTGAATTTTTGTGAACTAATATAAATACTTTGGAACTGTTTATATATATATGTGAAGAAAGGGAAATCGATTACCTTTCTTGTGATTATAATACCGTTAAAATCGCTTAACTTTTTTATACAAATTTTTCAACTTTTGGAAACCTCGGCAGCCAGTTCGAAAACGCCCTATCTCAAAAAGCTTTTAAAAACGCCCTATTTCATTTATATATATGTATTTATTTACTTATTTATTATTACGGCGTTTTGGGCCTAAAATTTAAAATATGTATGTATAATAAAACTTTACAATTCATAAATTCATAAATTCATTGAATTCGATGAGCTGCACACTCTTGCAGCAAATGTGGGATATGTACATAAATGAAAATAAAGAAACCAACCACTTTCGTAATTAATTGTTTCATTTATTTATTTATTTTTATTCAACAAATAACAGTACAATAAAAAGTTACTTATTAGCATAGCAAAATTTTTAATTAAATTAACATATATACATATATATAAATATAAATATATTATGAATAAATAAATACAAAATTCAATATTTAAAAATTGGTATTGGGATATATGTACATATAAATCTGGTGGTAAGTGAAACGTTTTATTAGTTTTTTTTTTACATAAAGCCTCAAAGTAAATTTAAATATGGGAATTTATTATTGCTTTTCCACACCACCGCTGAGGTTGCAATAAAGGAGCGTTACCGACTTTTTTTGGGTGTTCGGTTCCCCTTGAGGCCTATTTTCACCCATATAAAGCAAATATTCTACATATATACATGCACATTAATACATCAGAAGAACAGTGTCTAAACAGTACTACTTGTACTAGTAGAAAATTAAAATATGAGATGCCATTGAAAATTCAGGTACAATGGGTAAGAACAATAACGTAAAATATATTAATAAACATACATATACATATGTACAACTTCGAAGTAGTCACGGAATTTAAATTATAATAACTACATATACATAACTCACCCACGGTGACAGCTTTTAATTTTATATGTTAAAAAAAGGGACTAAAAAAAAGTAGATGAAATGCGTTTCTCATTTCTTCCGTTGGGACGTTGGGAGACGTTGTTGATCCCTCTCTGAAGCCGATGCAACCACCGACGACGCAGTCCCAGCCTGCACAGTTGCTCGGTTGTCACTACGGGTAGGATGTTCGCCCTGGCCCAAGGGGGGGTCAACCATCTCCTTTAATGGAAGTTGTGGCGGAGTCGGTTTCACCGCCATCACTTCGGCAGCTTTCGAGACTGGAATGACCTCGTGCCAGCTCTCAGCCTGCCCAGTGGCCTTGCTGGAGGATGAGCAAGAGTCCAGGTCGATTTCTGTCGAGGCATCTGTAGGTTTCCCCGCCTCCGTCTCAACACTCTGCGGCTCCTTCGTAGGCGAAGTGCCCCTAAGATGTAATTTTATGTGGCCGAATCTGTAGGCTATCCGACCATTCACCGCAGCGAGTCTCGTCATTGATACGTGGTCAATGAGCAGTACCAAATGTACAAACTGACCACTTGTCAGCCTGTGCGATATCTTCCAGCCAGCGGTCGAAATGCGATTCTGAGCAGTGATGGTGTTCAGAATCTTCTCGTTACTGAGCTGGAAACTCTGGGGGAAATATCCTCGGATTACGTGAGTTCGAGGGAACTCATTTTCTTCCACAAGGTTAACGTCCATACCACACTTGGTCTTGATAAGCTGGACGTTCGATTTTAGCCACGTCGCTGTTTGAGCGTTCGAGCAGACGACAAGAAGCCACCCAGCTCGAGGGGCACAACTTTCGAACTCGGGCTTTACGTCGTCGTAAACTATTAATGTTAAGGAGCCAACCTTTAATGAAACAAAAGGTATTGGTGATATCACGATCCAAACTATCTTGCACTTTCATTGAATTAAGAAACTGTTCGGCCTCCTCAAGAAAACTTAATTGGTCCGCACTTGCTGAAAATGGTTGTTTGAAATTACCGGTTGCTCCAAACACGAGACTATTGAAAATATTGAACAACTTATCAAAAAAAAGAACAAACTCGGCTGTATTGAAAAAAGATGGAGACTCAGAATTATCTAAAAACCCGGAGCTGTAGATAGCAAACATTGCACTTTACACGCTCATTTTATTAAAAGGCTTAGGTCTTACATGTGCCGGGGTCAATTTATGAGTGCAAGAAATGTCATAATTGGCGCCTTTTTCATATACATGGATGATGTGCATCCAGTCTACAGGTCTGCCATGAAAACTAACTCTATTTTTCTGGTTTTCTAAGCAATTCCGCGTACTCTTCAGGAGATGGGGAGAATCGAAGAAATAAAAGATTTTCTCGCTATTAACTTCAAAAAATGGTCTGTCTTTCATAACTCCTACTATCCTAGAAAAACTCATGAAGTTGGAGCCTTGGTCAGTTACAAGTTGACACGGACGCAGACCAATACTCTGGAGCTGACCTATGGCTTGGAAAATATATTTTTCCATTATATGACCTTTGCACGATTTGTGAACAAAAAAATATGCTAAGGGATGAGTCCAAGAGTTTCCACCAATGCCTTGGACCAAAATTGTTAAAACACTAGAAGCTACACTTGGTGTGCGATTTTCATCGCCATAATCCTCCAATCCTATAATCATGTCTCTACTTCTTTCGTATTGAACGTTACTTTTCAGAGACATTTCGTCACAGCAGATCGAAACATATCTCTGTGCGTCCGTGAAACCTCGGCTTCTTAACTCCAGGGCTTTTAAGCTGCTATAGTTGCAGCCAGGGTTACGTGGCCAGCCTTGAACAAACAACTCTAGGGTCTTTTTGGAGGGCCATTTAAAAAGGGGCTTTAAATATCTAAATGCAATAGGTGATAAAAATTTAACTGCTAGAGCCAATGTTTTCAGTTCTCTGTCAAATCTATACCCGTGTGGAGTTCGGGGGGCATTTTTAAGGCAATTCTTCACACATATCGCTAAATGTGCAGGCAAGTTGCAAATTAGCTCTGAAATTAGTCTATCCTGTGAATTGACAGGCAAACTTGGCTCCTTTAACAAATATTCTACTCTATTTTCTAAAACTCTCACCTTATTGCGTAAATATTTTATCTCATCTTTTGCACTATCTAGTTCCTCCCGATACTTTCTCTTTCTAGGAGTCCCATCACTTAAATAAAAATCTGTTTGAGATTGCCGACTGTTTGCCCAGGTTTGAACTAAATTGGAACTACCTAAAGAGGAAGAAGGTGTGTCTTCTTCACCCTGGTGGGATTGAAGGGATTTTTCAAAGGATGCCTCTACCTCAAATAATTCGCAATTTGAAGTCGAGGCGCTATCTGCTGCTACGGGCGAAAAAGGTATCGGCAGAAAATCCTCAACGCCAAGTTCTATTACAGGGTCAGCGCTCGAATCCAAAATTTCGCTATCAATCTCTATAATAGAATCGAAACTTGGCTGAAAATCTTCAACTCCTACTTCTATGACTCCTTGTACGTCTTCAACTAAACTGCCTGATACATTCCTATCAGTAATCTCATTTTCCCTACTAGCTGTCACTGCGGGCGAATATAATCTTAAATTAATATCGGGAACTGCCCATTTGTGAAGGCCTCGGCTACTTCTCATCTGATGGGAAAAATGCCTCTGGCAGGCGAAAATATGTTTCGCTGTTGGGCCCACCACACCCAACAACTGGAGCCATTTACGCCGCCTATTGAAAAGAAGTAATTAGCATTAAAGCTAAATACCATATGCAAAACTAGTATACTAATTAATGCATATACAATGGTAATATAGTACATATATAAATAGAATAAAATACAAATAAAATACAACAAAGCAGTTTTAGTATAGGAAATATGGGGTGTGTGTACTAACTCCTAGAAGTTGGAAGTTTTTGATGGCATACTGGCGGAAAATTTGGAACTTCTAGCATTTATCATAGAAACCTATTAATACATCATATTAAATATAAGCAAAGATTTTCCAAAACCAAATTTAGTAAACACTTGCTAGTCCAATTAAAGTTGTTAGTTTAATGAAAGTTAAAATTGAAAACCAAAACATAGTCAAAAATAAATTAGTAAAGCGAAATTGAAATTTTATGTTAAGTGGAAATCGATAGGAAATCACGGGCAAGGGGAGATGGTTAAATGTATTTACATTAGTAAAGCGAAATCGAAAATGATGTGTTAAAAAACAATAAAGTAAAAAAATTGGTTATAACGATACCCGTTCTGGTCCGTTAATTGGAAAATTGGTTTCTGTAAAAAATCGAACATTACAAAAAAATATTGTTTTATGTACATACATATATTTCTTTCATATTTTTTACATTTATAATATCTCGGAAACTACTTCACCGATCAAAAAAGTATTGATGTTTATTTAAAGATAATTTAAATAGCTTTTACTCGATTTATGTATTATAACCCTTTTTAAAACCAATTTTAAATAAACGCCATTTAAAAGCGTATACTTGTTTTTTTTTTTAAGTATTTCTGGCTTAAAAATATATATAAAAAAAAAACGAAAAAATTATATTCTCAAGTAAAAGACCCATTAATTACCTTTACTTTGCCATCATTAGTTTTTTAATAAGTTATGTAGTTCAGAAGACATTAATATTTAAAATAATCAAAAAATTAATTTTAACCATTGATACCTTCTTTATTTTTTGCTTGCGCGAAATAATAGGTGTGTATAGTAACATTTCCAGTAAAAAATTCCAGCGAGAGCGTAAAAGCTAAATAGAGCGTAAAATTTAGAAAAAGAGAAAACTGGCAGAAAAATTTATTGAACGCAAAACCAGTAAAAACTTACGAATAAACAGTTGCATTGCTTTGATATTCCCGCTGTAAACATTTTACAATTAATAAATCAGTTTTAAATTCTTTGCTTTGCGCACAAGCATTTACACAATCCTGTTTATCATCAATTAGTTAATTAATTTTATTTTCCACTCTTTTTACTTTTGTTTACGCTTAACCAATTCAACAAATGGTAGCTTTCGATATTTATTATTGTTCTTCTGCTAGCTAATTTCTGCTAGCAAAACTTTCACTACCAACAATTTGCAGCTCTCCCATGTTATTACGCTCTCGATTCGATATTATGCGGCAAAATTTACCACTTTGCATTATTTGCAAATAATACTTTCTACATATTGCACGTTCAACAATAAATAGAATTAAATATATGCATGACCAAAAAAAAAGTAGAAAAGTACATAGGTACATTCGCAATTTTTGGGTATATCAGTTATCTATTAGCTTGAACATATTCTCCTTATCAAGCTTAATTGTATATTAAAATCTCCAAAAACATAAGTTTGAAATCAATCCTCTTTATTATTTTACGTGCAATATTTACTTTAATATAATTATAATTATTTTAATATACATATGTATATATGTATGTACATATAAAACTGATATCACTCACCTGGTCATTTCTCCCAACGGAGGGAATACATATAAAGGACATCCCAATGGACATCCCACGATGCAACTTTTGTTCACCATTTTGCTTCTGAAAAGATGCAAACAAAAAGTTATAACGACTATGTTCAAATAAATATGTACATATGTATATACATATGTAAATGGCATACATTAAAATAACTTACCTATTGAATTGTTACTACACGGTACCACTTGAGCGAAATCTGTAGTTCAGGAAGAATATGTATATTTTATTAAAAATATTCAATTTATGTATTGAAAGAATAAAAGAATGCCTGCGTCTAATTTTTTCAATTTGAATATCTGAAATAAATGCCAAGAGGGTTGCCTTACCTTATCACAATAGTACGAAATTAAAAATTACACAGCAAAAGATGTTTCTTTTGCTTATAAAAATTTATTTCGGAGCTCAAAAAATTTAAAACTAATATTTTTCATAAAACTGAATTTTTTTACCATATTTTAAATTATTTTTGTGCAACAATTCGCATTTAAGTTACAATGTCAAAACAAAAAACCTAAAGAATTTAAACTTGAAAAAAGTATAACACGACAACCCGGTTCGAAAATTAAAACTTCAAAAAATGATGCAACAGCTTCACAAAACCCTGAAGGTGCTTCACAAAACCCATTCTAACGTCATTTTGGCTAGCAACCACACCAATACTCTCAAGCAAAAACACCAATACACTAGCAAAAACACACCTAGAGCCTGCCAAAATCACACCTACAGCCTGCCATAAAAAACGGTAAGAAGAAGAGTTACGTTACTTATAGAACTGTACGATGGTTTAAAGTACACCAGAGTCTAGATTTGTGCAGCTAATTCCATTCCATTTTGAAATTATTCTATATAATTTATATACAAACGTATGCACAGCTATGTGAAAAAATAGGTTCATGACATTTTACCAGTTTTAGCTGTTTTTGTTTTGTTTGTTTAATGTTTATTAATTTTTTATAAATGCACATTTCGAACTTTTTAGAAAAATTAGAACGGTCCGAAATATCTTCACAACAACTAATATTTTTGATATTTTTATTTAGCTTTTAGACTTTGTTGCTTTTTCAATTTTCCTAATAAACAATCGTGGTACAAAGCTCAATAAAAATATTGAAAATAAAATGTTAACAAGCCACAATAACTTTGACAAAAAAAAAAACTAATATTTTATTCAGAATTTTTAGAAAAATTGTGAGTATGCAGTTTTATAACCCATTATATTCTAGTATGACAAAGTGGAAGTTTAAGTTGCTAAGAATTTGCATTATTTTTGATATTTTTTTTTTTGCAGACGGTGTTAATGTCTGTCAGAACATGGTATTATTTAACTTTGTTCGCATAACAGTTGTTTGTAACAGCCAAAACGAATCGAGATAAATATGGACAAATGAATACATAAATGATCAGAATGAATGGAGAAGTCGATTAAGCCATGTCTGTCTGTCCGTCTGTCCGTGTACACGAGAACTCGAGCAAAAATTATCCTCACACTTATGATGAAATGCTGTATCTCAGTATCCGCTTCACCAATCCTAAACTCGGTACGAGGCTAGGGTAGGGCCTATCTAACAAATCTATTGAAACTCATCGATTTTGGGCAATAACCACGCCCACCTGCCATATAACGGTAATTTACAGAAACACGAAAACTGCGATAAATCAGTAACTACTGGAGCTAATTCACTTATGCCTTGGTTATAATGGACGGGGCGAATCGTAACAAATCGCGGCGAATTCGTAAGGATCTATTGATTTTAGATTGTTCCGTTTTACGTTACGTTTACGTGCATTGTAACCATTTGCCATCATATCCCATACAATAGATAATTAAGTGAAAGTTCACTTCGTTCCGTTACTTCCATTATAACCCAGGCATTAGAATCGATGATTGCAATAACCACTTAGCATAAAATTAGATATGTATTATACATTTTTAGTTAATGGGCGTAGCGCCGCCCACTTATAACCACAAATGTGTATCTCGGTAACCGATTCATCAATTTCTACAAAACTCGGTACGGAAAAGCAATTTGCTGAATATTATTCAAATCGGACCAAAATTACAACCGCTTCTCGTATAACGGTAAATTTCAGAAATACGAAAACTCCGACATTTCAATAACTGAGTACGCTAATTTACTTCAAGTTAATAGTTACAGCAATCTCCTAACAATAAACAAGACTGCTATAGACTTTTGGGGACTCGGCGTAGCACCGCTCACTTTATAACTACAAAGGTGTACCTCGGTAACCACTTAATTTGTACCTAACTAGGTTCTATTAAATCATTAAGGGCCGGTTGTTCAATGTCTTATTAGCACTAATCGGAGGTAGAAGCTCCGGTTAAATACAACGACTGCTTTATCGATCACATGTTATATGCATGATGTCGAAAACGTCGATAATGATGTTTAACCGGCAAGTAGTGATAACCAGACATTGGACAACTGGCCCTAACTCTCGGGTAAAGACCCCTACTTATCATGCAAAGGTAGTTCAGCGAAAGTTGAAACGACGATATATGACACCTGCGCCGGGTATATAAAGTTCGGTTTCGCCCGAACTTATACTTCTTTACTTGTTTTTGATGAATTCAGTAATTATTTATTATCCACTGACTCATAGAATGTATCTTGCTGATTTTTCCACGATAATAGTTAATTAGACACGATTTAGCCTGATTATTTCCATTTTTCTAATAATCATTATTTTGTATACATTTTTTAATTTTTATAAAGAAATTTTATAAACAAATGGAATATCAATACTTATTCTATAATACATCATTTAAAAGAAAAAAATAAATACGGAAACTTGCACGGAGTCGCTAGTTATTAATTTTTTACCTTCCTTTTATTAGCTCGGGATGTAACTATGTAATATTGATGCGCCTAAAAGATGCAGCGATTTCTATTCTCAAGTTACATACCTGATGACAGTACGGACGGCAATTATAATAGGGAGGTTTTAGTTTTTTAAACTATATTGTTTCGCTCCTGCCACGGGTGCTTTTGCTTCCATACCGCGTGCCGCGCGGACTCTCAGCGAGCGTGGTGCAATCAGAGAAAATTTATTTATAAACAAACGCNGGGGGGGGGGGGGGGGGGGGGGGGGGGGGGGCGCTCGACCCTATTAAGCTGGCATTTCAGGGTACTATTTTATATATATATAAGTAAAATTTGAAAGTTAGGGGGGGGCTCGAGCACCCCCCCGCCCCTACCTGGCTACGCCCATGCATAGATTATTTAGTACAATATTTTGCAAAGTTGTATACATAAATATGTGCAGACATAAAACATACGCATGTATTTTGTCTTTACAGAGAAAAATAAGTAAATAGGATTGTATAATCGTTTGTACCACAGAAACAAAAAACAACTAACCACTTTTCGATACCCCCAAAATATTTTGCTTCATGTAACAGTTGTGCTGTATACCTGATGAAATATAATCCTTAGTGAAACAAGTAATTTTTTAGCAAAAAACAAAACCGACTTCAATTCTCATAAATATATATATATATATATATATCATGATCCAATGATCGGATTTAAACCATATTACTATGGGACAACCTCTGAGACACTACCTTTCCGATGCAAACAGGATTATCGAAATCAGGTTGACGTGGTCATAAGTTATGCGGTAACAAACATAACAAAAAAAAAATATTCGGATGAACTGATAACCTCCTCCTTTCTAGGAAGTCGGTTAAAAATGTAGTTGTGGATTGTTGTTCAAGGACATACTCCGTAGCGAATGTCATGCAATAGTCACTTAAGTATCGTGTACGGCCATGTTAGGTCTTCAATGACTTTGGGCTCCGTTTATATGGAAGTCGTTTATGACTTTTTCATACAAATGGTAATTCGGTCGTCGATGGCCTCTGCATGATTTTGTCATGCAATGATCATTGATGACATTGAAGCGACAAAGTCCTGCAATAGACTTTCCATAAGTGACCGCTGCAAGACATTGTCTGTTTGATAGGAGTACACCTGTATGACATTGTCACCAGTGTCATTGTCAGCTATATGTCGCTTAGGATTCACATCAAGTGCGACGATGTCACTAAATCCGCATTAGTGATGATGTCACCAGTGACCATTTTCGCTACTGGGTATGTACATATGTATGTATGTATATGTATATGTGGATATGGAAAAATTTGCGTAAACAAAGAATAGGGCCGGTCCACACATCTATAACTTTGACAAGATTAAAAGATCTGATCGAGAAGTAATAAATATTTCTATAGGTTTATAAAAATTTAAAAATTTATACAAAATAATGATTATTGAAAATTGAAATAATCTAAACGGTAAATCGTGTCTAATTAACTATTATCGTGGAAAAATCAGCAAGATACATTCTATGAATCAGTGGATAATAAATAATTACTGAATTCATCAAAAAACAAGTAAGAGCAGCGCTGTCTTCGGCTGTGCCCATGATTCAATAACACAAGGTTATGTATGTAATTTGTGACAGCTCAAATTTGACACTCCTTTATCTAGATTTGTATTTTGGAAGTAGGAGAAAGGAGAAGAATGTGATCGCCTTTTGCGAAAGCGGTAGTAGAAAGGTACTAAGAAAAGTGAGCAAAGTATATAATTAGAAGTAAAATGTGTATTATTAATTTTATGTGAATTTGCAATATATTTGGTGTTTATATGGAAATACTAAACAATACGTAAAAATATGGATTTTTAGTTTAAGTTATTCGACATTTCCTGGAACAAATTTAGAATACCCACCGTTCAGCTATGCAAAAACGAAAAATGCAGATCAATAGAACTTTTTACGGTCATTTCAACCAAAATTATTTAGTGCAAGTAAAATATAAAGACGTTTTAGAAGGTTAAAGTTAAATTTTTTGATTGTTTTAAATATTAATATCTTGTGAACCACATAACCGATTAAAAAACTAATAACGTCACCATAAATATAATCAATTTATCTTTCAGCTGATATACATAATTGAAATTGTTTTTTTTTATATATTTAAACCAAAACCACTAAAAAACGAACAAATGTTATTTTTTCATGAAATAACCTTTTTTGAAAAAAAAACTGCATGGTTAATGGTAAAAAATTTACATTATTTTGAAAGTACACGTTATTATCTTTAATGTGGTATACATATTTTATCATGATCTACTTTTGGGTTTTAAGAATTAAGTGATAATAAAAAATATAAATAAACAAAGAAAATAAACCTCTTAAATTTTCTTTATTTTTTACCTGTGCCAAATAAACTTGATATCGTTTTAATCAGCGTAAAAAGTTCTATCAATCGGCATTTTTGATTATTTTATAGCTAAAAGGTCGATATTCTAGACTTGTTCCAGAAAACTACGCAAACGAAGGTGATGCCAACGAATATTTAGTATGAA